CCCCCCCCCCCCCCCCCCTCCCGCTCCCCCGCCACCTAGAACTCGCCTATGTCCCCTGCTTCCTCTTCCCTCCTTTATCTTGCTTTCTTTTTCACTTTCTTATAACGGACAGGAAATCCCAAATGGAATCACGAGAAGCTTAAATTTGGCACTTTCGTAATCGTCAGAATCCGAGATAAGAAAATCCTCTCGGTTTTTTCCAAGAATAATGCATTGTGGCCGCTTTTAAGAATATTTATATAGCATTGTGGAAGAAGTTCTGTCTTTTTATTTCTTGCATGCATCACTGCTAATTCATCACTATTGCGTTGCATCATGACCCCTTCCTAGGTAGGTCGTGCATTGGCACGAAAACGGCCTATATAAGGCCGCCGTATCTTTTATCTGAAGGATTAGTGTCAATCCCGTCGAGTAGTGTCGATCGACTAGTGCCCAGCCCGTGAAGTGCGCCGACCAGGACGACTTACGAAGGACGAGGACCCCGTTGCTACCCCCGGTAATTGTCGAGGAGTCGACTACCCGACTTGACAGGCCGCAGTAGCCAGCCAGTCGACTGAAGCGACTGGGCCAGGGAACCCAATGCCATCATAACAAATCTAGAACTTGCGGTAGGATCGGCTTCCACAAAAAATACGAATTCGAATTAACTTTAAAACAGTACGCGATGTAAAAACTGTTAGAAGAAAATAACAGAAGTTTTTCCATTACTTGAAAATCCACTAATTATAGTTCTGGATTCGGACTAATGCCACATCAAGAAAGTAAAGCTTTGATAGCAAATCCCTACTAGATTTTAAGACGAAAAGTTCGATTCCCTCCTCGTCCATATTTATTTCCAAAAAAGGCCCTTCGTTCATGAGATAACCATCAAAAGCCTTAGCTGGTAGTTGCTGTTGGCATTTGTTATCACTGGGGCTACCTTCGGAGTGTTCCACCTCTCATAGAATGCAAATACGGATGGGGTTTTGACTCATAACTTTAAGAGGTTTCAAAATGAAGCAGACAGTGAATCGGATATACGAAAACCGACAGTTCCTTAGTCAAAATCGCTATCAGCTTGTTTGCAAGCAACTCTCGAAAGAGGGAGTCATCGACAGCCTTAGCTAGCAACGAATAATTACTAAAACCCCCTTCGCTTGGTGGCATTTGCTAAAAATCCCCGAATGCTTTCGCCTTTTATAGAGAGTGAATAAGGAGAGAATAATCAAAAAATCACTGGTTTAAAAGCGGATGAACTTACTTCAATTCCCTGACTCATTTCGATGGATGTTGGCTCTTCAAGCTCAGTTACATCAACCGAATCATGTCCAATAATATTTTTGTCAGCAGCTAAAAGAGGCATCTTTTTTTATAAGAAATCAGTAAAAACCACTGGTTCACGTAAAGGAAAATACTGGATTTTCAGAAAATATTGAAACTTTCAGAAAATATTGAAAAATTCCAAAAAAAGCTCGAAATTCACTTGAAAAGCTATGAAAATACAAAAACTTAAAACAAAAGTGTTAAAAAAAATTACCACGGAATGCAGCAATATGGACTGAAAGAAGGTATGGGTTCTTAACAGATGAAGAATAGGATTCGATGGATTTCTCACCAGCGTATGCAACTTCAACCTTAAAAAAAATTCCAAAAATCGCAAAAAATTTATTTAGAAAAAGTAAAAAAAATTAAAAAAAAATATAAAAAGATGAATATAACAACGCCAGAAACACCAGCCAGTATTGCTTAAAATACAATAAATATATCTCAAAACTGCTAAAGCCTTGCCAAGTTGCATCTGTTAAAAAAAGCTACTAAGAAAATATCCTCTTTTTAGGAGACAAAAACCTAACTCAAAATTACTAGGAGACTGAAAACCAGGCGATTGAAAATTCAAAAAACCGTAAATATTATTCTAATCACATAAATGAAGAATTAAACCAAAAATTATCAATCGTTTCAGGCACCAGTGAATTTTTTTGGCTTTCCCACCATGCAAAATATGGTGAATTAGAGAAAAAATTAGAAACTATTCCAAGAGCCACTAAATTTTTTTACCTTACCGGCAAATTTTGGTCCCCCTTTAACTAAATCCCTCCCCCTCCCCTCTTTTTTTCGGTTTATTCTAAAAAATTCCGATTCAAAGGACTCTCATAATTTCCGGAACGAACGATTTTGGTGTCCCTAACTTGGGGTGCCTTTCCCCTTCTCCTGGCATATACCTTTCCCAATTTTCGGGGGAAAAAAGACCTTATTGCCCCTAACTTGGCACGTTTTCCCCTCTCTCCTGGCACATACCTCTCCTATTTTCCGGGAAAAAAAGGCCTTATTGGCCCTGACTTAGGGCGCCTTTCCTCTTTTTCTGGCATATTTCTCTTTCATTTTCCAAAACGAGCGATCTTTGGTGCCCCTGACTTGGCAAATCTTTTCTTTTTAGTTACAAAAAGAACTAAAAAATGAGGCAAACAAGTACCTGTACGATGGTTTTGTTATCATTTCGGCAACCAAGCCATAGTACTGCATCGATTCCACCAACAAGTTGCGTAGCATTCTCGAAATGATGTTCCGTAAAATTATACTTTAGCAGGAAGCTGATCAATTGGGCCATCGAATTACCATTGAATCCAACAATTTTGGCAAGTTCCGTTTGCATGTACAGCGAGGGC